TCTCTCTCTCTCTCTATGTGTGTGTGTGTGTGTGTGTGTGTGTGTCCTTAAAATGGACATTTTCGAATTTCCTTGCTCCAATGGTTCCAAATTGATAAAAAACAATTCTCTGAAAGTTTTAGCCCTTAATATTGTCTTTTAGATAAAGCACAATTCAATCAAAGTTTTGTATGGAAATAGCATGAAAAAAATTTCAGAAATTTTGCAGAGCGTTGAATTTTCAATAAAAAATGACACTAATTTTCACTTTTAATTCATTTGTCGCTAAGTTGTACATAAATTTTTTTTTTTCAATTTTCAAAATTTTTTCCATGCTATTTCCATACGAAGTTTGGAATTGAATAGCGCACTATCTAAAAGTTAATGTTAAGAGCTAAAACTTTCAGAGAATTGTTTTTTATCAATTTTGAACCATTTGAGCCCCTGGGAGCAAGAAACTTTGAAAAATGTTTTCAAATAGATTATTATAAATACTGTAACTTCTAATAATTATAAGCATTATATAAACCGAGTTGCGAAGTTAAAATTATTTATTTAAAGCATATATGTGAGCTTTAAAACTTTACCCAGAATTAAATGATCATTCAAATCGGATGCTTAGTTCTCTCAAAAACTTACTTTTTGCATATTTAGCTCTGTATCTCCACCTGGACCTGCCTTGGCTAAAAACTAACCACCAATTCTCTCCATCATTAAGAATTAAATGTTCTTTGGAGCATTCAAATCGGATGCTCCGTTCTCTCAAAAACTCGATTTCTATTTTATGCACTCTTTGCTACGTATCTTCGAAATAACTGGACCTGCCTTTGCCAAAAACTAATCAGCACATTTTCCTATCAATAGGAATCAAATGTTTTTTGAACCATTCAAACCGGTTGATCCGTGCGCTCTAAAACGTGGACCAATAATTGCGGACACACATCACACAAATACATTTTTTGAGGCATGCCAAAATGTTCAGAAACCTCTGAAACGTGAAGATATATAAATATATTTGTATTATTAATTTTATTCTGCTATCTTTTTTTTTACAAACAAAGAGCAGAGATTGCTAACAATAAATATTTGACAATAACTAAAAAAGAGCAGAGATTGCTAACAATAAATATTTGACAATAACTAAAAAAAATAGTAGAAACATCCAGCGGCGTATCTACTATATAGTAATGTATAACATAAAAAAAATTAAAAGAAGAAAAACTATAAAATAATATAACAAAAGTATTTAACTGAGCTAAATGACGTCTTGTGGCAATTGTCTTTTCAACCAGGTGGTCTCTACTGGCCAATTCATTAAGATGCACTTCAATCCTTTCTTTGTATTTAGAAGCAACCACTGCAATTCGTTCTGCTATTGTGAGCCTGTCTGTGAGGGGATGATGTTCAAGCTACTCTTTTTTTTTTGACGTACCCCAAATTCACAAGGTTTTGATCATTGCCTCATATATTAGTATTAACTTCCCGTAGGGTAAGTTATAGTAATATGCCGAAAATCGAAAATGAAAAATTTTGTATATCTTTATGTTTTGAAGATTTCTGAACATTTTGGCGTACCTACAAAAAAAATGGCCACGTTTTCGGGCACACGATTCAATAATGTTTACTTATCTATGATTCAACCGATGTGAATGGTCCAAAATACATTCGTTTCCTATTGATATGGAGATGTGTGGATTAGTTTTTGGCAAAGGCAGGTCCAGCCGCTTCGGAGATACGGAGCCTTGAGGCACGATGCCATACACCACTAGTATTATTATTGTATTGATAGTTCTGAATTTCTGTTTTGGAGCTATCAATTATTTTTGAAGAGTTCTATTTGATGTCTTATCTATTATATGTATTTTTTAATTCAATTTTCTGTTCAAGTGTATGCTGAGATGCTTCACAGACTCTTTGGGCGGAATAACTGTATTGTGTAAGTCACTTACTCTTCTTTTATCTATGATTCTATGGTGTAAGTTGAGATTGGAAAATCAACTGTAAAATAATTAATATATTCATATTAAAACTATTGTCTAATTTATAAACTGCTACTTCTTTAGTACTGTTAGAATTGTTAGAATAGAAATAACCAAAATTAGGTAAGTAAGTTAGTTAGCATCACAATGGATGCATTACACAGAAACATTTGGAAACATATTCTTCTTTTATCTATGTTTGGAAACCTATGATCTAAACATACATTCTTAAATATTATAGACCTATGAAGAGTGATTTAATTATAAAAAATCATTAAAGTTTGCAATAATGGGCCTCTGAGTGCTTTTACACTTACTTTATTTTATGAGACTTACGAATTCTGAGCATAAATCATTATCATCCCTGAAGCACATTGCCAGTGTTCTCAATTCGTCCAATGCCCCTTCATCAGCACGATTACATGACGATGTAATTGATGGACTCTAAACATTTTTTATATAAGATCCTAAAAAAAAATTAAATTTACCTGTCCACCTTTACCTTTTTACCTTTTTACCCTTTACCTGTTTACCTTTACCTATCTTTAGGTCAATGCACGGGACATCATATTTCATTTTAGAGGTGTGGTTTCTTCAGCAAAGTATCTTATTTTGATCCCTAGAATCCGAAAATCATATGTGCCTAAGTCACCTTATTTAAATCGACCCACCCTAATATATATATATATATATATATATATATATATATATTATATATATTAAATATCTGAGTGAAATTAAATAAAGTTAATTTTGATGTTGAAATATCTGAGTGACTTCTTGAGGGCGATACATCAAACAAAGAAAAGGCAAAGATTTATAAAATAATCTTTAATTCCAAATGTTTCGACATACAATTTGATATCATCAGTGGCTCTATAAAGTAAAAAATTTGAAAAAATTATATGAACTAGGTAACTATGGAAATTATAACTTTATAAAGAACCTATAAATAGGAGAAAAAACTAGGAAATAAAACAACAACACTTATCGAACTAAAGAGAGAAATTAGAGTAATAACATTGATTTATATAAAGATATATCTTGATATATATATATATATATATCTTGATATATATATATATATATATATATATATATACATGCACATCTGATGCACGGGACATCAGAATTCATTTTAGAGATGGGGTTTCTTCAGCAAAGTATTTTGATTGATGATCCCTAGTATCCGAAAATCATGTGTGTCTAAGTGACTTTTATTGACACATACAAATCGACCGCTCTAATATATACATATATATATATATATATATATATATATATATAGAACAAAATATATTCTTAAATTAATTGATTTTATTGAAAAAATCAATTGATCAAAACACACAACACTAAATGTTCCAAATATATAATGCAAACTAACAAAATTTTGAAAAAAATATGCAAGAAATATAATTTTCCGTACTTGTAACAGACACATCAAAGCCAATTAGATATTAATTTCCTATATTTACTCTCTCAGTAACTTTGAAAGGTACTCTAATTTAAACACCTATTTGAAGCATTTGAAATTAAAAATCATGCTCAAATATGTATATGAACAAGTACTTACTTCTGAATAATTTTATTATTGTCAATTTGCAGAAAGGTATAGTATTCTTATGTCCAAATCATGAACACTAATTCATTTTGATTTCTTGATCACCACTTGCGCCACCAATTATATGATAATGAAGTTTTTTTAAAACGATTATGAGCAAATGTATCTATTGCTTTTTGATAAGCCCATGAAATTTGGTGCTCTTAGATTTTTCATCTTTTATATAATTCAGAATTTGTGTAATTCTACTATTGATAGAAAGTAATCTGCTAGTAATAGTTACTATAAAATTAGTGAATGTTAGAAAAAAAATCAAAAGAAAAATTTTACGAGCTGTCAATCCTTCTTAATGGTTCATTGAATGTTTGATCCTAAAGTGAGTATTAATGAATTCATAACTGTATTATGTTAATATAATTGCTCACAAAGAACATTTTTACATGTCTAATTTTGGAATTTATATATTAATAAATTTTCTGTTATTTAATTTATGCCAATTTGCAATCATTCAATAATAGGAAATTGTTTATTAGGAGAAAATAAATGCTTTTTAAATAATTGTTAATTAATCCATATAAAATTTTGGTAGCTGTTAACAATCGAAACGATTTCTATCACAATTACCTTATTTTGAAATAAAATATATATTTCACTGTATCAACTTTATCATGAAGATCAAACAAACGATCATTGATGAATATATCGCATGCACAGCATGAGACATGATTGTCTCAATTATATAACAATATTCGGTATTCTTGTATATTTATAATTCGCATTTCTTGTATATCTATTTTTGATATTCTTGTATCAGCAAAAATAAGTTCTTTCTTATACTCCATGTTTGACTTCATAATCTTGAAACCAGTACTCTACACCTTGAAAGTGAATTTAATACTGGTTCATAAAAACGATAAAATAAAAGTTTAAATTTATTTATTCTACCATAATTAAAGTGAACTTGAATGTAATAATTACCACAGAAAATCGTAGATTACAATAAAATCGTAAAAATAAACAGACACATACGTTACTAGCAAAACCGTTCAAAATCTAAAAAGCTACTTTATACGACAGATCAGAAAACATAGATGATGGAGATGACTTCTGCGCATTTGTATCAAACAAATTTGGCGCTAGTTTAAATTATTCTTCACTTGCCTTTATATCATGCATAGATAAAAGAAGATATTATGCTTGTATTGGTCGAAAACTTGACGAAAGCCGATGCGTACCTTGTTTATCTATGCATAAACCTTTCATTTATCTATGATTCGTACCATAGATAAAAGAATAGTATTGATAAGAAGTAAGAGTATGAATCGTACGGCGAAACTAAGATGAGAAATGTATGAAAATGTTTATTATTTATTTTTACTTATATATATATATATATATATATATATATATATTTACTCAATGATAAAACTGTCTATAAGCACATATGTATATATTTATTTATTTATTTATATTACTAGGACTTTTACTGTATTAATCGAATTCATTCAAAACCTAATTTTTTTTAAGTTGTCATATAAAATAGTTCAATTTTAATTTTTCTAAAGTTTAATGTATGATAATTATGAAATGTTCACAAACATCTATACAGGCAATTGTTATAACTATGGAGGAAATGATCCGAACTGAATATAAGTTCACGGTGTATAACATTTTCTAAGCCATTTCCAAGCTAAGATTAAGTAAAAGGAAATCGTGTAAAATCTGCGTCAAAACAAGTAAGATTTTGAATTAATACTAATTATTTCAATTAACTAGTTTGCATGTACATTTTGAAGCATAAAATTTATAAAATGTTACATATAATACATAATTATTAATATGTTCGCATCAATTTTAGATATTCGCTGCGGCCGCCATTGTTTTGATTAGCGCAAGACTGTTAAACAATAGTGAAGATGCGTAATCTACGTAAGACAGTAAGTCAATTATATATTATATATAATTATATATATATATATATATATATATATATATGTTTCTGTACAAACATGTAATATACATTATCATATTAAGTAAGTTTGTTACTTACTGCACGTATTTATGGTTGCATAGTTATGGCGGAACATTGCGATTCAATCAGCAATATTAAATGAATAACAAATATTTCACACTAAAGATTCTTGGTATAGCGTTTTATGACTACATGTGTTACCAATTGGTTATTTTTGTTATTCTTTTTTACTTTTTAGCAATGCACAAAAATCATTTGGCTACTTCTTTCCAATTTTTTTATTTCAATATAGCAAATCAAACATTGGTTATACATCCAAATGTAGGGAAAAAATATAATATTTTAATATTTTTAAAATGCTTAGTCTAATAACAATTTTGTAAAACTAGGTCGAGTACTGTATTTATTGTTAAAATTAAATCTGATCATACTTAAAATATCGTTAGTGGCGCCATTATTAGTCTATGCTTTAGGCAGTCAAGAGGTTGTGTTTTATCAATTTTGAACACACATAAATAAATTTACGATGCTATTTTTAAAATATCGTTTTGTCCTATTCGTTTAATTAAAATATTGTTGAAATATTTTTATTTACTTTTCGAACATTTGAATAAGTTGTAAAGGACCTCTTGTTACATATGATTGAATAAAAAAGAATGTGGCAAGTTTGCAGCAATAATATTTGCTATTTACCACTCATATATTTATTTATGTATGTATAAGAATTAAAAACTAAATGTTTCAATTTATAAAATGAGAAAAAAAAATTGTTTGATCTGAATCAATCTGGCCTAAATGTTTCGGTCTAGCTTCGGCTTTTTAGAGAATATCAGGCGTGCCAACAAGAGCCCGCGCTATCGTTTATTGGTAGAACGTGCTGCTTTGCACACGATGGTTCTTTGCTGTTTTACACTTGTTCTGTGAAGAGAAAGGAGGCGAGGCGGAGATTGTTAGTACTTTTAAGTATTAACAATTTAATTAAGTTTTTATTTAATTTCGTTATTTTTTTTTAAGTTTTTACGTGAAAGACTTTGAGGAGTGATTGTTTATCAGCAACCAAGTGAGTAATGCTCTAGTTCTTTAATTGTTGTAGCCGGTTTCATATACACGTGGTTTGGTCAAAGAATATGGCTTTAGTGGTGATACGGTTTTTTCAAGTGTAACAGTATTATGTTATCGTGTGTATTAGTCGGCCGAGTATTCACATACTTAGTTTTGTGTATATAATACATGTAATATTTCTGTAAAGCTACACTTAAAATAAAGTCTATTTCGTTTTGCCATGGCTGCCAGTGTTTCAACCTCATTGACCGGAATATTGTGTTATTTTCTAAAAGAAAAAAATTCTGAATGGAATGCATTACAAATTTTTGCTTTTATATTAAGATTTAATGTGCTTGTTTGTGATAGTCATTAATAATGAATTTCGAAATTTTACAGCAGAAAATGGGGTCCGAGATGAAAAGTACATGCTACAAATGCAATCGCGTAGGACACTTTGCCAGAGAATGCACCCAAGGAGGCGGAGGTATGGGAGGTGGCCGGGACCGCGATGGCGGTCACAGGGACTCGGGCCGCGTGCGTGAGAAATGCTACAAGTGTAATAGATTTGGCCACTTTGCCAGAGACTGCAAGGAGGAGGCTGACCGATGCTACAGATGCAATGGCACTGGACACATTGCTCGCGCTTGTCTGCAAAGCCCAGATGAGCCATCCTGTTACAACTGTAACAAGCCAGGACACATTGCGAGGAATTGTCCTGAGAGCGGTGGTTATGACTCCCAGAGTAGGTCCAACCAAGCGTGTTACAACTGCAGCAAAACTGGTCATATATCCCGTAACTGCCCAGAAAATGCTAAGACTTGCTATGTCTGTGGAAAGCCTGGTCACATAAGCCGTGACTGTGATCAAAATGACCACAACTAGGTCAATATTATCTAGGGTGTCGGGATATTTATCAACCTTATTAATGGCATCCGATATCATAAAGATAATTTATGAGTTAACAATTATCTTAATATTATTTTAAGGGCCACACACTGATCTATATACAGGATCTCCAATCTCTTAATTTTAAGGCTCTGCAAATTTCCAATCAAATGCCTAATCTAATACAAATTCTAAGCCTGTAAATGAAGTTTATGATGTAAACGTTGGCCGCGTTAAAGATATATAGACTGTTTCTTATAAATGAATAAAAGTTGATGTTTGTGAATGAAGTTTGGTTATGCTGTGCATCACATTGAGCAACGACAAATTTTTATTTAATGAACAGTATTTTATTCATGTATGAATTGAACAGTTAACCATTTTGTTACTACGAAATAAACATTGTAATTTACATTTGTGTTTCAATTTCATGTTTGTATACCATTAGTATTTTCTGCACCATAGAATCTGTAAGCCATTTGTACTCAATTGTATTTTGACGTTAATGATCAGCGGTGGGCATAAGCCGTAAGAAGTTGCAATTTTTTAATGTTATTTAGTGCCACACATACTTATATAATTTTATTTCTTTGTGTTATTTAATATTATTTGAAGTTGCATAAAAATGTATGAAATTATAATTATGATAAAGAAAATATTTTAATTTTAGTATTCACTTAATAAAATTCAATATAAAAACAAATGTTTTAATCATTCTATTTTCTTTAATGTAAATGTGTTGAATGTATGCTAATGCCTTTTTTGGTTGTGCTTTCAAATTTTGTTTTGAATGCGCCTTATATGCATGATTGTCACCAATCTTAGCATGCATGATAAACTTTAGTTCTAAAAGTGCATGCTAAATTTTTTTGCACATTAAATAAAATTATATTCAGTGTAGTGTGTTATGATTAATACTCTTACAATATTGAATCATGAACTGATGCATAGTAAATAAATTATTATCAGTTTATTATGTATACTAAATGATTGTTTTTCAATATACATCAAAGTATTAAGTAACAAATGTTGTTCCACTCTGATAAGAGTTTATAGTCTATTTGTGTCTGAAAAGTCTTTTTAATGCAATATTTTCCACTAAGGGCAAATTTTCGTTATTCTCTAAATAAAATAGTTGAATGAATTGAAGTCTTGGGCACAGATAAGGAAGATAGTGGGTCGGGCTTCCATGGGTTGCGAGGATCGAGGATCGATTTATGCGATTTGGAGCCTTTAAATAATAGCGGTATGGCTCTTATAGATGACATGTTCCATATATATGAAATAGACAAGAAAATTGATAGAAAACATTACGTTTTTTAGAAATCCCGCAACAAGCCCCTAAATTAATAAACCTCGACAATGTATCAGCTGTCTAGACGCCGAAGGTTTATTGAAACAGGGGTAATATGCATTATAAGAACAACAACCCCTTCATGCGGTATTATGACAATTCAGGTACGTCACATATATTGTATTAATATCCATGACTATAACCTCTGCATTAGAGACTCGAATGATATTCATATTTTTGAAAAAGTCGTGCGGATTTTTTTTCATTTTTAATTTCCCGTAGGGTAAGTTATAGTAATCGTAAAATAATCGAAAATGATTTTTTTATATGTCTTTACGTTTCAAGGACCTCTGATCATTTTGGCATACCTTACAACTAGAAAAATATTATGTATGTGTGTGTGTGTTCGAATATAAACTTGCGTCGACGATTTCGCGAACACGGGTGAACCAATTTGAATAATTAAAAAAACATTCGATTCGTATTGATAAGGAGACGTGCTGATTAGTTTTTGGCGAAGGCAGTTCTAACCGTTCCGAAGATACAGGGCAAAAGTTCCAAAAACGGTAACTCAGTTTTTAAGAGAACGGAGCGTCCGATTTTAATAATTCAAAAAAACATTTTACTTGTATTATAAAGATAAAAAACTGATTAAATTTTTGGGATGGCAAGTCTAGCGGTTATGGACTTTCAATAAAAATAAGTTTAAAAAATGACTGTCAAAAATGTTCATTGGACATATTTACATCAAATTATCAGATATTTTATAGATTTTAATAATGTTACATTATTTATGTAATTTTTTTTGGGTTCCGTACCAAGATTCTTGATTACGGTACGGAAAGTTCCAGCAATTTGCCTTAAGGCACGATATCATGCACTCCACTAGTCTAACTTAATGTTTAAATTTTAAATATATCTAGATAGCCAATTTTAACAAGAAATGCCGAAAACGGTACTTATTCATGCAATATACAGATTGCAGGGTATTTTGTTTTTGAAACCTCCTGGACTATATATTTTATACCATGCTTCTTTTTAATATATATCACTAAACTGATTAAATTTTGTGTGGAATAATACAATATTTTTAATAATTTTTTGAAACCAGAAGCGCATATACTATTCTTTCTTCGACGGGCCCTGTCTGAAAAATTGTTGAACTTTGAATTGACTTTTTGTTGAACTTTGAATTTAAATTTTTTAAAATCAGTCGTATCCTTTAAAAAAATTGTACTAATGTGTTTTGGCAAGTATCATCTAAAGTTATTTAATCGCATTTAATCAGGATTGTAAAATAGGAAAATACGTGAAAATTTGATTAATTTCGAATAAACTAGTGGGGCGCTGGGGCGCGTGGCATCGTGCATTAAGGCAAATTGCTGGAACTTCCCGTACCGTAATTAAAAACCTTGATACGGAATCCAAAAAAATTTACACAAAAATCTCCGAAAAATATCTGATAATTTGATGTACATATGTCCAATAAACATTTTTGACCGCCAAATGGCATTTTTTTTACTTTTTTTTACTAGATTTCCGAAACTGAGGGACCTGCCTTCATGAAAATTTAATCAGTTCTTCACCTTGTCAATACAAGTAAAATGTTTTTTGAATTATTAAAATTGAACGCTCCGAGCTTTTAAAAACTGAGTTACCGTTTGTGGCACTTTTTGCCCCGTATCCTCAAAACGGCTAGACCTGCCTATGCCAAAAACCGATCAGCACCACGTCTCCTTATCAACAGCAATCGAATGTTTTTTGAATATTTAAAGTCAGTTGAACCGTGTTCCTAAAATCGTCGACGAAAATTTGTATCCGCACACACACACATACACACGTACATTCATTTTTTCTAAGGTATGCCAAAATGTTTAGAAACCTCTGAAACGTAAAGATATATAAAAAATTTCTTTTTCGATATTTTTTCGATTACTATAACTTACCCTATGGGAAGTCAAACAATAAAAACCGAAAAATGACATGATTTTTGATAGTACATTTTGTCCACTATTTATGAGTTATCAAAATTCTAGCATTCTTAGATTTTTATTTCAATCATGTCATTCTTCTTAGGTTTGTATTTTTGTACTCGAAATTTTTCAACAATAAAATTTTCAAGTATTTTGCCATTCACAATCCTGATTAAATGCGCCAACTTTTGATGAAACTTGCAAAGAAACTTTAGTATATTTTTAATTTTATAGTAATGGGCCGAAAATCTAAAATGAAAATTTTTGCTTTTCTCGTCATTTTGAAGGTTTCTGAACATTTTGGCATACCTCAGAAAAAATGGATGTGTGTGTGTGTTTTGTGTGTCCGCATTTTTTCGTTCACGTTTTTGGGCGCACGGATCAACCGATTTGAATGGTTCAAAAAACATTCCTATTGATAGGGAGATGTGCTGATTAGTTTTTGGCAAAGGCATGTCCAGCCGATACGGAGATAAGAGCAAAGAAGGCAGAAAATAGAAATCGAGTTTTTGAGATAACGGAGCATCCGATTTGTATTATTTAAAAAATATTCAATTAGTAATGATTGGGAGAAATGGCTATTAGTTTTTGGCAAAGGCAGGCCAAGCCATTTCGAAGATACAGAGCTAAATATACAAAAATGGCAGTTTTTGAGAGAAATAAGCATCCGAATTGAATGATTCAAAAATCTTTCTGCTTGTGTTGACAAAGCAATTGCTTTTGGAAAAAAAATTATTTAATTTTTTTTGTATATCGGAAATCATTCAGGTTACAATTTTATTTTTGGCTAATGTTTTAAAGCTCACTTATATACTTTGAATAAATATTTTTGACTTCGTGATTCAGTTTATATAATTCTTATAAATATTAGACGATGTTACAATATTTATAATAATCTATTTGAAAGCATTTAATATTCCTCGAACATTTCGTTACGGTACGGGAAGTTCCAGCAATTTGCCTTAAGGCACGATGCCACACACCACTAGTTCTCTCAATGTCGACAAATTTAAAAAATGTTAAATTCATAGTTCATCAAAAAGTCTTAATTCTTGAAAATTTGGGGCAATTGTGGTATTTTTTTACCGTGGTTCTACAAATGTTATTACCGGTTTCAAAGTTTAAATCATAGATAAATAAGAGTATAATGGTTTAAATGAACAAAATTAGTAAAAAAATTAACCACAATAGCCGAAACTTGGTCTTAATTTTACGTAACTTCCATACAACGTGAGATATTTTTTACTTCCCGTAGGGTAAGTTGTAATCGTCCAAAGATCGAAATCGAATGTTTTTGCATTTCTTCACGGTTTGAAGGTTTCTGAACATTTTGGCATACCTCAAAAAAATGTATGTGTACGTGTATGTATGTATGGATAAAATATTTCGTCCACGTTTTCGGGCGCATGGATCAACCGATTTGAATAGTTTAAAAAGCGTTCGATTCCTATTGATAGGGAGATGTGCTGATTAGTTTTTGGCAATGGCAGGTTCAGCCGTTACGGAGATACGGAACAAAGAGTGCACAAAATAAAAATCGAGTTTGAGAGAGAACGGAGTATCCGATTCGAATGATCCAAAAAACATTCAATTCGTAATGACGGGGGGAAGTGGTGATTAGTTTTTGGCAAGGTCAGGTTCAGCCGTTTTGGTGATACCGAGCTAAATGTGAGAAAAATGGCAGTTTTTGAGAGAACTAAGTATCCGATTTGAATGATACAAAAAAACTTTCTACTTGCGTTGAAACGATTGTTTTTGAAAAAAAAATTGTTAATTTTTTTTGAATATCGAAAATTATTCAATTTAATTATATTTCTATAGAAATATTTCTAGCTAAAGTTCTAAAGCTCACTTATCAAATAAATAATTTTAACTTTGCAATTCAGTTTAAATAATTCTAATAAATATTAGACAATGTCCTTCATTTTAAATTCAATTGATAAAATTATGTTTATTTACTTTTCTGTAAACATATATAATTTACAGTATTTATAATAATTCTATTTGAAAACATTTAGTATTCCTCGAATATTTCATTGCGGTACGGAAAATTCCAGCAATTTGCCTTAAAGCACGATGCCATACACTACTGTTTTCTAATTTTTTCAGGACAGTAAAAGTCAATGTTTCGACTTGAGGTTGTGATTTGGGACACCCTGTATATATAAAATAAATCTAATATTGTTTCTAGAAATCATTATACTGTCGGTAAAAGTATAGTTTATAAACCGTTTATCGTTCGCATCTATATCCTATATGTATATTTAAATATGTTCATATTTAAACAATCAAAACTAATTTTGGAAAAATCTCTTATAATTTATATTGTACAAGAAAATAATTCTATTTAGTATTTATAATTAAGCATGAGTTGCATATTATTATATAAAATAAAACGGTAGCAAAAAGAGTATAACTTAACTCAACAGAACTTTTCAACTTTGCTCACAGATGGAAAGCATGTATTTTAGTTTTTCTACCACGTAAAGGAATTCTGTTTCTATAAAATCAATACTGAACAAATTCATATTTGATTTTTTTTTATATTCATAAATATCTATATAAGACTTTTACTTTATTGGCGTATTAAGTGAACTTTCAACAATTGTGAAACCTAAAACATTTCATAAGAAAAACTAGATTTATTTGTAATGGTAGTGAAACAGATAGATAAAATCTTGTACATCCACTATACATCAATATAAAAGAACGATATACATGCTTTGCTTTTTCAGATTATCAGACTAACAATTTAAATATGAACACTATTAAATAAATGAAGAAAATATATTAATATAAAAAAGCTAACCAGAGATTTTATCATTTGAATTTAGATTAAAATGTCCGGCAGTAAAGTATAATATGAATTATTTTTGTTTTCACTATGCTAGTTTTCGAATTCTCTTTCACCTGTTAATAACATCATTGATATGAATTTTTTTTTTAAACTGAAACATTTATCATACAGTTTTACCTGTTTTTTTTTTTTCAATTATCAAATATTAATTTATTTTCTAATAATTCAATACTATTTCACCGAATATAATTCTGAAGATCCCTTTACATGTCACATTTATTGCAGCAATATAAATGATATCAATGTTTCATATAAATCAAAATCTTTTTTGTTAAATCAAATCAATATATTTCTTCATGTTTGTCAAGCATGGACATTTGAAATTTGGTTTATTTTTAACCAAACAATAAGTCAATTACAAGAGAAATAAAAATTTCAAAGAAAACCAAGACAATACTGATAATTGTATGTTTAGTAGATTCATATAAAACTTCCTTAACTGAAATGCTGATATAAACTACTTTTAACAGCAACTCCATGAGCATCAATGATAGCAGTCTTAAAATTATGTTTTCATACATACATCATTGATTTTTTAGCATAGCAGTTAGATGACAATTACATTTATTTAAAGTTACGAATGTTGTCCTTTCACAGAGTATTAATTTAATGTATTTTGCTAAGAAATCAAAAATGAATGTAATTCGGTGGTATTCTCACTTTTCATTGTAGAGAATATTGCATTAGGTTTCGATATTATCACAATTCATCTGTTTAGACTTCAGCCATTCGACAAATTCATCTAACATCACCGGCCCTAAAAACAAATTATATTTAATATCAAAAATTTATATATTAATATTGTATATGTCTGAAACTTATACTTACAAGCGCCATCAACATCATAATTGGACAAGTCTTCATGAATAGACTTGGAAAATTCCAATATATTACACCATTGGTCTTTGTTTATAACCCGATATTTAGAGTGTTCTATGAACCGCGAAAATTCACTATGTAGAGACCAACGGGATCCTAGTAATAAATTCAGCATAGCGATGGCTGTGTCTGTGTCCATACTACGTTGATCTTTGTCCTATTATATAATAAACATTTATTACAAATCTTTATAAAGCTCATTAATTATTTTCAATAACATCAATTTTTAAAACCATGAAATAATAATAACAAATTCAGCATTGCGATGGCTATATCTGTGTCCATACTACGTTGATCTTTGTCCTATTATATAATAAACATTTATTACAAATCTTTACAAGCTCATTAATTATTTTCAATTACATTAATTTTCAAAATCACAAATTAATGAGCATAACTTTGACTACTGAACATAAACATTATTATGTCGCTTATAAAAATTGTGTAATGCCATCATATGATTAGAAAGATGCCCAATGTTTCAATATGAAACAGGGGACATGCCATCTTAATGTTGTAGCATAATATCCATTTAATCACTTCGGTAAATTTTTTTTAATTTTCCATTTTGGAGCAACAACACTGTAAATTGTCTGGGAATAATTATTTTATTGTTTTTAAACAAATGATTTCTAATTTATTGCTAATGTCAAAATTTACACAAAATCTGATAAAAATGAAAACAGATTATTACTATTATTTAGGCAGCAAGGAACTTAAGAGTTATTATAATTTAGAAAGACTTGTTTCCTGCAAAATGATTGGGAATATACTTACTCTAGCAAAATCATAAGCGTATCTATATATTCCTTTAAACGTTAAATTATTGTTGAGCATAGTTTTCAACGATTCTATAATTCCACTCATCTTAGATGGAGAATCACATTGCAATTCCGTGAAGCCTCTCATCCATTCCACTTTAGTAAAAAATCCCATATCTCTAGCTGACATTTTATATGCTAATACTAGCATAGTAATATCTTCTGGTTGTACTCCTATGTCAGCACAAAACTTTTCCATCCCTTCTGGACCTATAATTTAAAACAAATAATCAGTCAAAAATCTTCTAATGAGAATGAGATACAAATTCATGTAAGTTAGGAAAACAATAATCATTTACATTTGCTGAATACCAAAACATCGAAAGAACCTAACTCATAAATGATGATCTCGTATAAAAGTTTTGACAATTCTTGAATAGAATCAATTTTTTTTTCTGAAACACATGGGGCAAAATAAAAGTATAGTTTTAATTTTTATTGATCATTTAAATATTGTGTATCATAAAGTAAGAATGCTCTGCAGAACAACAAACACGCACAATTAGAAAATGTTTTTTTTTTTAGACAAAATGATGAACCAATACCGTGACTAGACTAATTTTCTCATTACACAAACAAATAATTTTCACAATTATATTATGATAGAAATATTAAAATGAAATCGAATGCAGAATAAATGACACAGAATTTAAGAATATTTACTTGTTAAAAATAATTGCAAACACTAAAAATTTGTATAGTGATCTATTGATATTATGTGAAATAAACGTAGCTTTATAGTGCTCGTTTTAACACTATGTGGTACATCAGCTTTATTCAGACTGTTAAAAATCATAATAAACTATTTAAAATACAAACATATAGAAGGTAAAAATGCTATTAGTGCCTTTTAGCTTGATCAGGTATAAGACATTTGTCAAAATTGAATCCACAGCGCATTAAGTTCAAAAAGACAATACATTCCAACATAAAAGTAGAACTAATTTGAAACATTTCTCATCATGCTGACTTTCTCCACAATAGCTACTAAATAAGCGCAATAAAAACTTTTGACAGAAAAGGTTTTGACAGAATTGTTTCGTTTATTTACATAAGACTAATTGTATATAAACATTATAGAATCCAAATGTAATATAACACTAATATACCATCATAATCATATTTCAAACCTGATTATAACAATACATACAATGCTTAAAATACAATATTAAAGGTGATAAATGTTACCTAACGTATCTGGATCGTCCTTCGTTGTATATTCATGAAACCACGCTAAGCATCTTTTCGCATTAAAAGTAGTATCCTCTGTCTTTTTACTCCTTAAACTGATAAAATGTAAGTCATTAGTAGATGCTCGACTTTTACTACATTTATATTCAACTTATAAATCAATAACTTACTTAGTTTTAACCCTTTTGAAACTCCTGTCTCCCTCAACTGGACACTCAGGATTTCTACGTTTAGTACGCGGCATTATTAGAAATCTTATTTCTAAAACAAAATTGTGTACGATGATCTACCGTTTTGCAAAATTGTAAACATAATACAAAATTTCAAGGGAGTGACAAGAAACTTTAAATTTGTCAGCTAAATAAATTAGGTTATGGCAGGCGATCTTCCTAATTAATTGTGAACTAATTCTTAAAGAAAATTAAAAACATGAACATATTTCTAATACGTTTATATTGTGATAATTTAACGTATATCTATTAATACTCGAAAATTAGTTCAGTTCTGAGGTAGAAAACTGCACAGAATTAGAGTTAAAACTTGTTCCAAAAGATGAGTAAGTCGATATATTATTTTCTCAACAGTGTGACGTGTTTTTAATCGATTTAGAAATATTGCGTATTTTGGATTGTGACAAAACTCATTCAATGCTGAGAAAACATCATATTACTATACTCATTACTACTATCTATTATGATTGATAATGTGCAATAATATATGTATGTGTTGTAAATTCGAGTGAAGTACGACATGAAGTCGTTGCTTTTTAGGGATAGGAAACAATGTGACAACCTTACAGTATGTAACTAACGTGAGAAATTTATAAAATAAATAGTTTTGACTTTTTTATTGTATACATATATATATATATATATATATATATATATATATATATATATAATATTTCGAATTATTTTATTAATTTTTTATTTATAACAAATTTTATTCTATAACATGGATTTTATGTATAGTGTGGACGTCAACAATGATCAGTACAAAACACAGAACGGAATATACAAGATGTATGTTAAGAGCACATTATTTACTTTTTGCAGGCTTATAATTTATAAGACGTTAGTTAAGATCACTGTTTAAAGACTCATTCAAATCGTTAAAAACAATTATTAAACAATTAATTACTATGAAACGGCCCGGTGATCATTAACAAAAACTAATGAACAATTTTGTTACGGATTTCTTGTGAAAACATCTAACAAAAAAATTCGCGCTTTTCTACTAATTGAAACGAATTACATCGTTTGGCTTTTGAAATCAATTCGGCCATTTTTGAGAAAACGTCGACGGGTATTTATACACATATTAATATTTATTACACATTAACAAATTATAGTCAATTAATAGTTATGAGAATTGACTATATTTTGTTAGTGTGTTTTATTTAAACTATTACAGCAACGAGAAAAAGAAAGATATCAATTATCAATAAAAAATTGCAATTAAAAGCAATGAAACAATTTTAATACTCACAGAAGATTTGTATTAATGGTGCGTGAGTTTAGTCCTGGTAATTACCAAATACGTGCAAAAGGGTGCCTTTACAAAAATGAAAGCTCTCCTGGCCGCCAAGCGATTTTTTACATAAAGAAATACTCCGTAAATTTTTAATTTTATCGTAGAAAAGTTAAATACAAAAATGCAATTTTTAGCATAAACTTTTACGTTCCAAACTTCTCTGCATAGATAAAAAAAGAGTATGTCCAGAGTGCTTCTCTGGACATTTTGGCCATAGATAAATAATTACTTTGAAATGACTGTATACTTATGCATAGATAAAAACTACTTACATATAGATACCAGCGATACAGGTGTGTGTATTGTATATATATATATATATATATATATATATATATATATTATTTTAAATTTTTTTACCAACTGTCCTGAAACGGATAACAAGTAAAATATTTGACATGAAACTGAAGGCGTGGGCAAAATACAAATCATCTGACCATTGCCAGTGATTTGTCGAAGGTCTTACCTATTGTTGATTATTGCAGAAGAAATTTTCTTTTTAATCGGGCCCTGGTAGAGTTGTTCTGAAGTTTTCTGGCGAGCAAGTTCGGGTGATCTGCTAGGCGATTTCTATATTTGTGTGAGTAAGCGATTATTTCATCCTTAACTGTGCTAGTGCCTGTGTCTTTGTGCATTAACCAATTTGGAACATACTTTGGTACTTTCAAAATTTCTTTTAATAACTTGTAGGTGTGTGTATATGTGAAAACAATTTTTCGTAGGCAAAAATTCAAATACAAAGAACATTCTGCTTTGTGCCATAGATAAACAAGTGCGGTGCGGGCGGTGCGATAAAATGAATCGTTTTTAAGGAAGGAATGAATAGTTTTTAAGAAATTTTTCGAAATTTGCAAACGATATCAAAATTTTCAAACAAAATAAAATTTAAACTATAATACAATTTGTTTGAAATATTTAAAGTAAAACTAAATTTGTAAAAAAATTAAAAACAATTAAATTTACATAAAAGTTTCACTTAAATATACTCATAACATAAATATTATTTTATAAAATTATAATAATATGAATATTTCAATAAAGATACTGATTTCAAAAGTAAATATGATATTATATATAACTGCAGCATTTTATTATAATAAAGTAATATATTACTTTAATTTTTATAAATATGAAATTAGGTAATATCATGCATTCATTGTAATCTGATGCGTTACAACATGCACATTAATTGTTTACATTTAAATACAATACGTCTCACCATTATGCTTATATATATATATATATATATATATATATATATATTATTTTCATATAAATTACAATCTGTCTTTAAGAGACATTCAGTAATTAGATTTTTGGTAGTAAAAATGGATGCTAAAAGGATACCCAGTGGTAAACCTTTTAGTTATGATAACAATTATGGCAAAATATTTATAAATATAGATACTAAAACCTATTGTAAGTCTAAACATGCATAAATAATATATGACTATAATTACATATACATATAAATAATTCCTACATAAACTAGGTTTACATATTCTGTTAATTCGAGTAATGATTGTCTTTTTAATCTGTGATTATATGTGGTATTGTACAGTTCGTTTGCAAGACGCTGGGGTGACTGCTTATTTTTGTTTTATAATTTTGTCTATTTTGTTTATCTCTTCATTTACTGTGTTGACGTATTATGCTTATATTTATTCATTTATTATGAGGCTCATTGTCTGCCTCACTATTTTGTTCTACTGTAATATAGAGTATGTTTCACAGATGGAGCCTGAATTGATATTCCATTGCGAATGTTTACTTATCTATGGCGAATGCGATATTCGCAACATGTTTACCTACCTATGATTCACAAATTCGATTCGAAACAGCATATGCCGTCACATCTATTGCCGGGTTGTTTATGCGCGTAGTCAAGGCGACAAAGCGCCATAGCAACGAAAAGTTATTATCAACAGAGTACTAAAAGTTAGCCCGACTTGTTAATGTTGCTTTGGGACCCTTTCATTAAACTCTGTAGGCAATTTTGTTTTAATTATATGTGATAATTTTATGGGTTTGATTACACGTATAACGTTTCGTGATAGTTCTATCTTGACATAAGATTTTCATTGTGCAAATATGGCCGAAGAATAATTGCGATAAAGATATCTGTTGTATATCGTTTTCAATGCATAGCTTAGAGGAAAAACCTTTATCGTAAGTAAGAAATTGATATTCGATGTTATTTAATCATCTTGGAATGCAGCAGAATAGAAACATATAGCATCTGATAATATTTTGTTTTGACGTTCTACAATCGCAGGATGTTGCATTTATGTGAGGTGATATTTGTAATTTAATACTGTTTACTTTTCGATTCGAAATTTACAATGATATTTGTTTTCTTTGAAGAAGTGTTTCGCATTGACAAAGACGGACATGTAACTTCGTATGGTTCACAATCAGGGTTGGACTGTCTTCAAAATCACAATTTTTAGGATTGTTTTTGTTTATTTTATAGAATAATTTTTTAAGCCTTGAATTGAAAATTGATCAGTTGCCTCTATTAATGTAACGTGCTTAAATAACTTGTTAACAAACCCCTCATTTTTATTTAAGCAAACTCATATATAATCATATTGTGAGTATTAACACCAAGCGTTCTGTACCAATAACTACTCAAATAAAGTAATTTTTTATGATTAAATGTACTATAATTGATTAATGTATTCATTGACGGACGCAGGATTTTTCTCACAATGTTTTTTATTTATTCTCTTACGAATTTTAAAATATTTATTTTAAACATACTTGAACTTATTTATTTAAGGCATGTATGTACATGATTGTATTAAATGGAATAAAATTAATATAAAATATGAACTATATAATAATATATATCTATATATGATTTATTAGTTAATTTTGATGTTGAAATATATGAGTGAGTTCTTGAGGGTGATACATCAAACAAAGAAAAGGCAAAGATTTATAAAATAATCTTTAATTCCAAACGTTTCAACATTCAATTTCATGTCATCATCAGTGGATCTAAAAACAGTATAAAAATTAATATAACTAGGTAATTATAAAATGTGTGGATTGGTATAGAAACTGTAAATGTAAGAGAAAAATTAACAGAACAGCAACACTTAACAACAAATAGAATATAAAAGATAGAAAGATTATAGAAACTAGATATCAAATAGATGAAAAAGAAAAAAGAAAGAAAGAAAGTATATATATATATATATATATATATATATATATATATATATATATATATGTACATATATGCCTACACATTCACATGAATACATACATGCACAAATACATATCCATATATGTACTCAACGTACACGTGTTCATATATACATATCATATATATACATACACATACACATATATACATATCATATATATATATATATATATATATATATATATATATATATACATATATACATATAACTATACAAAAACTAAACAAAACAGTAACAAATATATTATAACAAACAAAAAGCAACAAATATTTTGAATTAAACAAAATAGTTATAAATATTTTATAACAAACAAATAGCGACAAATATTTTATACTAAACAGAACAGTAACTAGTATTTTATAAAAACAATAACAACATTATAATAAAGAAAATAGCAACAAATATTTTATACTATATAGAACAGCAACAAGTTTTATAAAGCAATAACAAACTTCATAACAAGACAGTAATAAAAAAACAATATAATAAACATACATAAAATTTATATCAATTACATTTATTTTTTGTTATTTACACAATGAAAAACAAAATAGTAACCTATTAAACGAAAGAAATAACATAGTAAACTTTAAATGTTAAAAATAACAATATTAAATATGTTATAATAAATAGTAACAAATATTTTTCGAAAACAATAACAAAAATGTAAAATTTATATTCAATACAATTATTAATTTTATATTTTCAAATGAAACACAAATTGAATATAAAACTATTTTTAAATGATATTAATTAATAATAAAAGATAGAAATAAAAATATCTAGTTTTGTTCCAACTATTAAAGTTAACCAAGCTATCTCGACACACAATTATACTGAAACTTTATTACATATTTCCAAATTAGGATGACAATTTTCAAATACAATTATATTTTTTTGCAAACAAACAATACAACTATTAGAATTATGGTTGAGCATTATTAAGCTTTGGTATTTTTTTTATCAATATACTTTCAACATCTTCATTCTCAATATTCACAATTTGTCTTAATTCTATTGTAGCCCATTCAGAATGTACTATTCTACATTAAAAACAAATAAGAAAGGTTAAAACAGAATTTATAATAGTAATTAGTTAACAAGAACTATGCAATATACCTTTCATTTAATCCTTGTTTTGCTGTTAAAAGCCTCTCGATATTCTTTCATATTAATCACATATGTTATTCGAGGCAATTTAGGATTCAAACCGAGACTTAGAATCCAATTCTAAAAAGAAATTATTAGAATAATAAAATATAAACCTCAAAAGCCATTAGAAATTTAAACAGTTATTTACCTTTAGTATCTTGTAGCATTGTCGAAAACTAAATTTTCATATCCAAATAATAAGCTCTAGTTTTTTTGAGACATCTTCAAACTTGGGCCTTATAAAACTTTTAACACAGTAACTAACATATAAATTATACTTACCCTTCATAATATTATATATCAAACTCAGTGAATCTAAAAACAGTATAAAAATTAATATTACTAGGTAATTATAAAATATGTGGATTGGTATAGAAACTGTAAATGTAAGAGAAAAATTAACAGAACAGCAACACCGAACTTATATTAGTTTTTATACTGTTTTTAGATCCACTGATGATTACATTCAATTGAATGTCGAAACATTTGGAATTAAAGATTATTTTATAAATCTTTGCCTTTTCTTTGTTTGATGTATCGCCTTCTAGAACTCACTCATTAAATGTTAAATATGAACAATACAACACTCAGATTTAAAAATCACACACTTTATTTGGTAATTACACACGTTTCGACACCATGGTTTGCCTCATTTTTAGTGTAATATCAAAACAGTTAAGATGAGGCATACCATGGTCTCGAACGTCTGTAACTACCAAATAAAGTCTGTGTTAAAAATCTGAGAGTTGTATTGTTTATATTTAACATTTAATATTCGTTCCACTTATATCACAAAATTTTATAATATGTATTTGTATGTGTATGTATATATTATTGGTGCTCTGGTTGAAGACAGGTCCATGGCGTAAGAACACTGCACTTCATTTAACCATCTTACTTCCGGCTTTTATAGTTCAAATTCTACTTCAACTTTTTTTGCCTTATTTCCGTGTCTTGTGCCTCATTTTTTAATTGGTTGTATTTTTCTGCTCGCGCTATTTGTCAAAATAACTCATTTTGGTTTCAGATTTTGATGCATTTGCAATTACAAGATTTTCAACATAATCAAAATTTTGCACCGAAAACGTAAATTTTCTGACCCAAGAAATTGGCACAGACGAGAATAGTAATAGAATAGTCAGGGTCCGTATTTACATTCTTCACCGCTATAACAATAAGTTTATCTCGTGAAAACATTAGATTTATCCTACCACCAATCAATAAAATAAAGCGTTAAAAATGCCTCGTTGTTCGTAATTTTGCAACAATTTGGGAAGTGTTACTATCTTCCATTTTAAGAGATTTGATTTTATGATGTACAATACCGTTGCAAAACTAACGTTCTGTATATCTTCATCAATTTCACGCGTTTTCTGGCATATTTTGGAGCCATTTATTAGCAATTTTAAAATTTGTGCTTGATGAAGCAATTTGACTAAAACCTTTTCTATTCTATCAAACTATTCTACATTTTGCTTTTTTCTGCACACTTTCCAATTTTTTTTCAATTTCTTTTAAACTTCCCATAGGATAAGTTATTGTAATGGGCCGAAAATCGAAATTGAAAATTTTTACATTTCTCGTTTTTTGAAGGTTTCTGAACATTTTGGCAAACTTCAGAAAAAATGGATGGGTGTGTGTGTATGTATGGATGGATGCAATTTTTCGCTCACGTTTTCGGGCGCACGGATCAACCGATTTAAATGGTTCAAAAAACATTTGATTCCTATTGATAGGGAGATGTGTTGATTAGTTTTTGGCAAAGGCAGGTCAAGCAGTTACGGAGATAAAGAGCAAAGAGTGCAGAAAATAGAAATCGAGTTTTTGAGAGAATGGAGCATCCGATTTGAATGATCTAAAAAATATTCAATTAGTAATGATTGGGAGAAGTGTTTATTAGTTTTTGGCAAAGGCAGGCCCAGCCATTTCCAAGATAAGGAGCTAAATGTGCAAAAAATGACAGTTTTTGAGAGAACTAGGCGTCCGATTTAAGTGATTTAAAAAACTTTCTGCTTGTTTTAACAAAATAATTGATTTTGGACAAAAAAAAATTTTTTGTTTCAACTTTTTTTTTAATTTTTTTTTTTTCAAAAAAAATTTTTTTTTGTATATCAAAAATAATTCAGATTTTATTTTTAAATCTGACTATAGTTCTAATCTACTTTAAACAAATAATTTCAACTTTGCAATTCAGTTTATATAATTCTTATAAATATTAGACAATGTTACAATATTTATAATAATCTATTTGAAAACATTCAGTATTCCTCGAACATTTCTTTACGGTACGGGAAGTTCCAGCAATTTGCCTTAAGGCACGATGCCATACACCTCACTAGTTTTTTTTATTGAAAATGGTACTTATAGATTAGTAAGTGAAGCTCATCAGCTAACTCTGTTTGATCTACTGTTTGTAACTTTTCATCGCAGTTTTAATACTTATATCAATTTTTGAGTGTCAGTGTTTTTTGCATTGGCGTATTAAACGTGGTGACGAATCGTATTAAGCGTTGAAAAATATGCGAAAATATGTCTCGAAGTGCAGGGACTGGCGTAAAATGATATACCATGCGAGGAATCGCATCAAGAACGATGTATATACTATGTATATATTTAGATATGCGTGCATACTTATATTGCTTGGCTTTGCACGCATAGGGGTACAATTTCATGGCGCGTGGCTACATACGATAATTTTTTGAACTCTCCATAGCTTACCGACGGTCAGCTCAGAAGTGTGTAACATTAGCATGTACAACGGAGAGGAAAACGCACTATCTCCTGGGAGTGCAGATGCGAAGCATCCTGTAGAGACTATTGTGCCACAGGTATACTTTTTACTTCAATTCTTCAATTATTTCTTATCTAATTTTTCTTTTTAACTTATTTTATCTATTCAATTTCTTCTATTTTACTATGCTTCTAGTGTTTTTTTTTTTATTAAACTACTACTATGGCTTGTAAATTGGTACATTTACTTTGAATATGCTATTGTGAATTGCTGATGTAAAACAACTCAAACAAAAAACTTTTAAAAGTTATCCTTCAAAACAAATTGGTTTTATAATTGGGATATACCAACTTAATCTTTAGTAATAATAAGAGAGACCCAGAAGTTTATTTTCTCTACATAACTCATTTTATTTGCATTTTTTAAATTTGTTTTGAAAATGTGATATCTTGTCCATATCGCAGACCATTCGAAAATCTTGAATAATTGTATTAAGTTATAATAATGCAGAAATAATTGTATTAATTAAATTTAGGGGCTTGCCTTAGTAACCTGTTTGAAGATAGTTACTGAACAAGACATTTTTGAATATGAATAATTAACAACTCAATTATATCAACTGCGAATAATTGTATATTTTCAGTTAACTGCGATGGAGTCGGACAGCTCTAGCGATACGCCAACTGAAGTTGCTGCTGAAGTAGCAGTGGTCACCGCAGATCTCTCTTCATCGGCTTTGGTTTCGACTAATCCGCACTTCATCACTGTAACTGGTAATAAATTTGTTAGAATTATTTTTTGTGTCATTGCAAGCATTTTGTGCCACTTCTATTATACAACATGATTCGAATGGAATTCTATAATTTTTGTGTCATATTTTAAGAGTTCCCCATTGATGTAATTTTGATCATAAGACACTAAAGGTGAAAATTCTAGATTTTTTACTGCAATTTTTAATAAATTTACCCATATCATTATTACATTGAGCATACGTTTCTATCAAGCATTAATAATTTCAGTTGCTGGTGACGATGTGCCTCATTCTACATTTGTGCAATATGTTGAAACGGATATATACACAGGGCAGGCCCCATCGCAAATGTGAGTAGCTTTTGGTAGTGAATAGATGTAGTTAATAATCTCCACATTATTTGATTATGGATTAAAAATCATTCAAAGCAAAATTTAGCCTAAACATAAAAAACGACTAGTTGTGTATGGCATCGTGCCTTAAGGCAGATAGTTGGAACTTTCCGTACCATAACGAAATGTTCGAGGAATATTAAATGGTTTGAAATAGATTATTGTAAATACTATAACCATGTCTAATATTTATTAGAACAATATAAACTGAATTACAAAGTTAAAATTATTTAAAGTACATAAGTGAGCTTCAGAACTTTAGCCAGAATTAAAATTAAAATCTGAATTATTTTCGGTATACAAAAAAAAAAAGTTGAAAAAAAATTTGAAATAAATTTTTTTTTTTCAAAAGCAATTATTTTGCCAAAACAAACAAAAAAATTTTGAAACATTCAAATCGGATGCTTAGTTCTCTATGCATTTATATGTTATATAAAGAGTCAAAATATTTCACGATGCTGAGACTTCAAATACATAGTTATTTTTGTGATTGAAAATGAAAAACAGTCAAAATGACTGCGTCCGTCTTTCTAGTGTTAAAAACTCATTCTAGTGTCAAATTGGATATTCCGTTCTCTTCTGCACTTTTTGCTCCGTATTTTCTGCACTTTTTGCTCCGTATCTCTGTAACGGCTGGACCTGCCTTTGACAAAAACTAATCAGCACATCTCCCTATCAATAGGAATCGAATGTTTTTTCAACCGATTTGAACCATTCAAATCGGTTGATCCGTGCGCCCGAAAACGTGAACGAAAAAATGCGGACACATAAAACACACACATCCATTTTTTCTGTTGCCAAAATGTTCACAAACCTTCAAAACGTTAAGATATGCAAAAAAATTTATTTCGATAATTGGCCCATTGGTATAACTACCCTGCGAGAAGTTAAAAAAGTACTAAATCCTACTTTGATATTAACAATATTTGATGCAGTTTGTCCTAAGACCTAAACTTTTTAGTTCAGTGGCAGTGATTGCATATCTACACTACTATCTACATTTAGTTAAATATTTTCCATCAGCCTACGGTTTTTTAAATTCACCAGGGTATATCCAGTTTATGCCGTGAGCGAGTACGCTTCTGCAGGCAGCAGTTCTCAGGTTTCTCAATCAGCGCAGCCGCACTACTATACTGCTTCTGGTTCGGCTTTTGTGGGAGCGGGTGCTACTTCTGTAAATGCTACGATTACTTCCGATCCATACATTTTATCTGCTCATTTGTCCAGTGAAGACGAAGCTATGATCGTACAACAGCCGACCAGCACAGAATCTGACTCTCCATCGAATCATACTATATCATCAGGAAGCGCGGTAATAATTGTTTTAATTTTCAGACAGAAAAAGTTTTTGATTTTTATAAAAAAAGTGATTGACTAGAATTCAATTTGTTTTGTATTTTGTGTTAATAATAACAAACATTTATGGTATTTATGTGAAATTGTTTAGGAAAGCAGTCATAATTACATAGACTCACCAAGTGTAGGGAGCAGCCAACAATTGCCAAATACCAATGGTGATAGTAATACAGGTTCATCAACACGTGTTTCACCTATTACTGTAAGTTCATTCATTTATTATATTATAAGGGAAACAAATTAAATATTATTCAAAAATAATATAATTAGCACACAGGGTGACATAAAATTTACAGATTAGTAGAGTTTGTTTTAATAATATTAAAGAGTTTTATTTTTAATGAATAAATGACCTTTATTTTTAATTTCCCAAAGAAGTTTATATTTTCAAGTACCCGAAAAGAGGCTCAAGTGTGCTCAACTGTTTTAAAAAATATTTTTTTTTATATCACAATGTTTTGAAATTGTGTTTTTAAAAGTAACCTAGGAGCTTTGCAAAATTGTGATCATTTTTCATAGTTTTTATTAGTTTAGTTTATTTAAACTTTGGTTCTGTAATCGTAAATAAAATTTCTAGAACAACAGTCAAAAATCATGACACAATTGCCCCAAGTTTTTAAAAATTACGACTTTTTGTTGAACTATGAATTTAAAATGTTTAAAATCGGTTGACTTTGAGATAAGCTTTTTTAAAAAAACATGTACTAAACTTGTGTTGCCAAGTTTTATCAAAAGTTAGCGCATTTAATCAGGATTGTAGAATGATAGAATTCCTTATTTAAATTTCATCATTTCTGCTAGGTAACATGGTTGATGAATAATTATGAGACAGCGGAAGGTGTTAGCTTACCTCGATCAACCTTATATTCACATTACTTGCGCCACTGTTCTGAGCACAAATTGGATCCAGTAAATGCAGCTTCTTTTGGAAAACTGATACGGTCAGTTTTTTTAGGTTTGCGTACTAGGCGTTTGGGTACGAGAGGAAACTCCAAGTACCATTATTATGGAATACGAATCAAGCCTGGTTCGGACCTTACTCAAGTAGATGAAAAGTATGTGTGCATGTAAAGAATGTTTTGTTTTAACACATATTGCATGTTGTGCTAATAAATGTCTCTTCTCATCAGACCTCCTTCAAATTCTGCCCCATCATATTCAAATAATAATGCCAAATCGCATAAGGTAAAATCAAACTTTAAATCTAATGTTAGTGATGGAACTACGCAGTATCTTGGTGATGGAAATAATGCTGTTCCAGTATTTCCTGAAATATTGTTCAATGAGGATTCACATCTTCCTGAAGATTGTTCTTTCGAAGATGTGGACACATTCAAGTAAGAATCAAAAGTGTTTGTTTTTAGTTTTAAGTGAATCTGGTATTGTTTATTACAACTTTGGACATTCTCATGATTTAATTTTCTTAGGATATATAGATACATGATTTGAAGGAAGCAGAGTACAAATAAATACAATATAAACAGATTAAAGTCATTGAAACTAGTATGAATATGAAAAATGTAACATTGTGAGGAGACAAAAAGAACAAAAAAAAAAAAATCGTATTCTCACAATGTTACATTTTATACACATTAGTTTCAATTGTTTTAGTTGGTTCATTGTTTTATTGTGTAGTTATTTGTATTTCTATTCAATTTGTAGTCCACTGGAGATGACATAGGATATATGATGAAATGTGTGGAAAGAATAAAGATGAAGGTTTTGAATTACATATTTCAACATCAAAGTTATTATGAAAAAAATTTTACCTTTATATATATATATATATATTTATGTATGCATTAGGGCGGGTCGATTTAAAAGTCGCTTAGGTCCATGATTTTCGGATTCCATTGATAAAAATAAGATACTTTGCTGAGGAAATCATACGTCTTAAAGGGGTTGTTCTTTTTTTATTATTTTTTTTTTTTTTGATATTGAGATTTTTTGATATTATGAAAGCTAAAAACCTTAGAATTATTTAAAAAAAAATCATCTCAATATCTATTTTTTTGACGAAGTTATAGATATATATATATATCTCTATATATATATGATCCTCTGAAATCGTTTTTTTCATCGCTCCGCGAGCTATTGTATGCCAGCTGCTCTCTTTTTCATTATAATATGTCATGCACATGACCTTTTTAATGTGTCAGCACCATTGAACACCATGGCGTATTAGTACATTAAATTAAATGGTGTATTTAGTACATTATATTAAAAACTTTAAATACGTTTTTATCAAATTGACTCTTCTCAATGCGGTGCCACAAATTAAAAAAAAAACTACAAGTCGGATCAACTTGCATTTTTTTCTAATTTGTTCAGCACTGCATTACCTAGTCCCCCTACCTCAAACAACTTGATAACATTACGCAAAAAAAATTTGCGAAGCTTCTCGTCCCAAAAAAAGGCTCTTTTTGACACTTTTTTTTTAAAATAGCTGCCATTTTTTTCCTTCTTACTTTTTTTCCTTTATTTTGGTAGGGGGACTGGATTCAAACTTCTTCTTCAACGTAGTTTCGTTTTTTTTTTGTTTCAGGCGATGCGCAACGGATTTATCTGTGGCACCGCAAAAGAGATCGATTTTGCAATGCCCACTTTGGCGCCCCCTGGTTAACAAATGACGGCGACAAAAAAAATAAATAAAATTTCTTAATATTCTATGATTTTGTAATTTTTGTTTAAAAAAACCGGATGTCTATACATTTCGAGAAAAACAAAAACAAATACCTTGCATTTTTTGTAACAAAAAAAGAACGACCCCCTTAAACAGTGATCAAGGAGCCAGGGTAAATTTCCCCAAATTAAAAAAATAAAAATTTTAGTGGTATGGATTATGTATTTTTAATCAGTATAACTATGTAGTTGTCCGTATCTCTCTTTACCATGGTGGTGATGTCAACTTAAATAAAAATGTTTTGGGGTAGTGATTAAAAAAGTTCCCTGACCGCTTCTCTAAAATGAATTATGATGTCCTATGCATTGAACCAAAGTTAAGGGTTAAAGTTTGTCATACAAAAATTGGAAAAAAATATCATTTTTGGTACTTTCATACAAAAATCATATGTGCCTAAGCGACTTTTTTTGTTCCATACAAATCGACCCACACTAGTATGCATATAACTATCGTGAAAAAACTTTGAAAAGGAAATTTTCTCACATTGTTTAGAAATTTGAGTAGAAAAATAAAAACCTAAAAATGGTCCCTTTTGTTCTCCTTAAGCTCTCAGTAGATCCCTAATTTTACTTTAATTTGTTAAGAGATGGATAGTGGGCATATTTTCTATTATAATAGAGAAATAGTAATTAATTTTGTCCTAGTTTAGTTTAGGTTCATTGGAATAAAAATCACATAGAAAAATAGGATTTTTTTATTATAATAAATGTTCAAATTGTTTTCCATTTGCTTTAATACATGCCCTATATCTTCTTAAGTACTAAGATGTATTTACTAGCTGAGCATATCCCATTTCTTACATTTAAATCTCCTGAATTTTTTATTGGTGCTTTCTCAATAAGAAAGTTTATACAAAGCTCATCTAGAGTGTAGCTGAGCTGCTGAGTAGGTCAACTCTCAAGCATATGAGGGCTAATAAATAGATCTTTATTAATAATTAGTCTTATCTGATAGACGCATCTGTTATACCTGATAAACAAAAAAATACTGTTTCTAAAAATATTTAATAGGCTTCCATACGTTTCGAGTCCCAAATTCATTCTTCTTGTGGATAAAACTACAAATAACAATGTAAAAAATAACGATGTACTAAATTTAATAAAAATATTATTTCAAAGAATTTAATGTTCAGTATGTACATGTGTTTTTACATATACTTATACGTGAAAATATTACATTTTCTTTTTCAGAGATATTTATAGAGAGCATTGTGAGGCGTTTTTAGATGCAATATTGAACTTAGAGTTTAACACAATAGAAACATTATGGCGTGAATTTTGGAGAGCAAGTAATAACAATAATGGAGACGAATGCGAGGATGAAAAGTATCTCAGCAAGTAAGTGTTAATTTTTTTTTCTCAAATTGTTTTAGATTATGTATATTTATCTAGTTAGTTTTTACATTATGATATGCAATTTGCTCTCACATGTTTTGATTTGGAATCAAATATGTGTTACTCCAAATATAATAATGAAATAATGTAATATGATAATTTTTATTGTTTATAGGTCGAAGCTGTACAAACTCTGCACCGTTCAGCCTATCCAGGTTTTTATATTAGAAGTTGATTTTGTGTTTTATCAAAATGTCGTAGAAGTTCTTCTGCCCGATGTTCTGAGGCCCATCCCAAGTGCTTTAACACAATCTATTCGAAATTTTGCAAAGGGTTTGTTTATGGCATTTTTCAAATTATATTTTTGTTCCTGTTAATTATTTATATACATTATGCTTGCAGGTCTAGAAAACTGGTTAGCATTGGCAATGTCAGGATTGCCTAATTCTTTAGTATCAAGTAAACTAACTGCAGTGTCTGCATTTGCACAGATGTTACGACGATATACCTCATTGAACCATTTAGCGCAGGCTGCTCGTGCTGTTTTGCAAAATAGCTCACAGATATCACAAATGTTATCTGATTTAAATAGAGTGGATTTTAATAATGTGCAAGTATGTGATAGTATATTACATATGTATATGTATGTATCCATATAGATATGTGAACTTGTTTATGTCTGTGTTCAAAAAAATTTGGCTTCTTATCATAAATATGCAAATTCTTTATAATGCTTTTATTTAATGGTTTTGAACCTATGCAAATTATTCGGTGTTAACAAATATTTCTTTTAAGGAACAAGCGGCATATGTTTGCCAGTGTGATCCAATGATTGTTCGAAATTTGGAAGACGATTTCAAATTCACTCTACAGCAGCAAAATAGCTTAGAACAATGGGCCAGTTGGCTGAAAACCGTCATGAAAAACGCCTTGAAAGACTATGAAGACAAACCTACCTACACTGAGGCTGCGAGGCAGTTTCTGCTTAAATGGTCCTTCTATAGGTAAATGTTACTTTTAATTACTTTTTCGCATAATTTTTATTGCATGTGGTGTGTAAAATAGATACCATTTCTACATAAATTTGTATAGTTAAGCATGATTTCACTTTCTGAATATGAGGCAATCTATTAAGTTAATCTTTATTTTAGTAAACAACAGTTCTTGTTTATATATAATGTCATTCATTGTTGGTCGCCTCAAAAGTCTGTGAAGTAAGGATTTTTTTTCATAGTCAGTTTTTATATAATATTATTAAATTAAAAAGTATATAATTTTATTAAATTATTTGCTTTTTATAGGTATACATGATTCAATTTGACTGATCATTTAATTGCATATAAGATTAGAAAAGCAACAAATGAATGATTTTAAATATCCCATAAGAACATTAATCTTTTTTGCATATATTATTGTTATATTTAGCTCAATGTATTTTGCATGATGTATATAGTAGTCATCTAACTTATTTATTATTCAATGAATTATATCTAATTCAAATTATTTTGATAATTTTTGTGTATTGAACATCGTTTCTAGAATTTTCTTGATTATGTATTTGTAAATACTATTTCTTCCGATTTAAAGTTTAATGTAATTTTTATGTGCAATTTAAATTTACATATCAGTTACACTACTAGTATATCTTTATATCTTAAATTTATCTAATTATATTGTCTTTATGTGTTTCAATTAGTAAACTGTTGTTACTTTTAAGACGTATTCTGATCTAGAATTAAAAAAAAGGATTTTTTTTTCAATGAATATGTAAATGATAAAATGATATAAATAACTTGTAAAAAAAAGTATTGCAAAAATATTGTTTGCCTTTTTTTCTCTATTTATGCCTCTATTAAAATATTACTTTCATTTGTAAAGTACGAGTTTCATCACAGTGCATAAAAATTTAATTTTGCTTTCTGTGAACCATTTTTTCTTAATAATTTATTTATTTCTAATTTAACTTTGTACTTTTCGACACTGTCTGTATGTCATACTTCAGCAATTTAACGAATTCAAACCAGGAAAAAAACACACAAATATAAATACATTGTCCAATGAAAAAAGAAAACGAAATTTCAATTTTAACTGTTTGGAAATTGCACTGAAGATGAGGCATACCGTGGTCTCGAAACTACTGTAATTAAATAAAGTGTGTGTAAAAATCTGAGTGTTGTGTTCATATTTAACATATGTTTGTTTATGGAGTGTGTAAATTTGGTGTGTGTGTGTGTATTTTGGAGTATACAAATTTGGTGTTAACATATGTTAAAAAAAAAATGTGTTGAGTCGGGCAATAGCACCAAGTAAAAAAAAAAAACTAAAGCAATTAGGAAATCAGCTTTATTAATCCATACGTTTGTCTTCATTGAGACCACCATTCAGTGGAAAAATGAAAAGTTTTTTAATAATTGAATTCTTTTGTGTAGATTTTGGCTGGTTTCGCCTAAGGAAAAATCTTCGCAGTTGAGATAATTTAATTTGTACACTAAATTACTTACAATTTTTTAATCAAATTGAGATTTTAATTTTGTAAATAAGGTTGAAAGAGCGTTGTCTAAGGTAAAGACCCAGAATTACTCTAATATTATGTTTAATAAAGAGTTTTTTCTATGCATAGTAAAGAAAGATTGTTTATAAAGGGTAAAGTTATAGTTTTTTCTTTGCGGTTTTGATTTTCAGTTGAAATTTTGCGGCGGCTTTGGAGGTATAAAATTCTGTTTCTGGGTGTGGATTGGATTAAATTATAACTGAATGAAGCGTGTCCCTTTTTTATTACTTTCCCAAACCATATGTTTTTACCAGTTTGCACATTTTTATAAAAATCATTGCAAACACAATTCATTCAGCGCTCAGTCCTACAACAACTATGTACACAAATCTAGTTTTTTAACTCAAATTTATAATTAGTTTTAAATGTTTGAACCATTGATAGATTGGTGTTACAATTGTGTTAATTAGTGTATTGTAGTTGTTAAATTGTTTTTTTTTTCCTGTAAGTACCTATCTTTAAGCCCAATATGTTTACATCCATTTTCTTTTTCTAAATTAATTATAAAAAAAAACTTTTCTGTTTTGCACTGAATGACATTATTAATGAAAACTGAAACGTATGGATTACTAAAGCTGATTTCCTAATTGCTTTAGTTTTTGTTTTTACTTGGCGCTATTGCCCATCTCAACACATTTGTTTTAATATATATATATATATATATATATATCTTTGGCATGTTAACTATCTTAATTACCTTAGCATGTTACCTATCAATTAACAACTCCAAAAGTAGTGCCTTGCTGAACGATGTAGTGTGAAGAGTTTGTAGAAGAAAATTCCTTTACTGTTTACTTGGAATGTAAACAAATATATATTTTTAACCTATTTATGAATTTTTCAGTTCCATGATTATACGAGATTTGACATTAAGATCAGCGGCCAGCTTTGGATCTTTTCATCTGATTCGATTACTTTATGATGAATACATGTTTTATCTAGTGGAACATGAAATAGCTCGTTTTAGAGGCACATCGGCTATAGCAGTAATGGCTGAAATAATGGTGTGAGAGAAACTAGATTTAAAATTTATGTTTAGTTATATGCATGCAATTTTTCATCATCTCCGCATGGCCGAATTAATGGTGTGAGATAATTTTAATTCAGTTTTACTAATACGTAATTCATTTACTTTCATGTATATAATTTTTTATGAACTACAGTGGTGCCTTGTATAATGTGTTTAAGTCGTTTCTGGGGAAAGCTCAAAATGCGAAAAGTTCACTGTGCTTAACGCGTTTTTCCATAGTAATACATGACAACAAAATTTATTCTGTAGTATGAATTATGGTTATAGAAAATAAAATTTATTATGCATGTATAATCAAGGCATTTAAATTTAAATTAAAAACAACTAATTTATCTAGTAAGTTAATTGTCAGTTATATTCAAAAGAGGGGTTCAGCTCCATTCTCCTAGCTCCTGAATTCTTCTTCTGAAGAAATTGTCAATAGATCTAAGTTTAACACTCGCTAAATCTAGCTTGTCATTGTACAAATTGCTGATCTTTACATGAGCCATGTTCAAAATGTAAACATTTATGAATTTTTTAGCTTTTTTCGATTTAATCAAAAAGTACATTATGGCGGAATTAGAAATCGACTGACTGTCGTTTCTTTTCTTTAGCTTTTGATCATCCAGATTTAGTTTTCTCAATAACATCGGGCTGTGAGCATGCTTTAAGTGTGAGCTCTATCTCCAAATAGTTTGTTTTCAAAGCGAGTAAAAAATTTTATGGTTCACTTTTTGAATATAACTTTGGCTATTGATAATGTTCCTCGTGCGCAGCGCTCATTGTGCGAGGCACTATTGTACATAACACCTTTAATGGAAATCGAAATATTTTGTTTAAAATTACCTAAAATAAAGCTTAGTTTTTCTACAATTACTGTGACACTTGGATGATTTTTGGCTTACATAATGAACGTTTTTAATATGAAATATGCGTTCATAAAACTTTTAGTTTAGTGCCCATAATATGGTTGAAGTAAGTGCAAAACTAAATAACAAGCACATTTCTTTATTACAAAGCCATATAGTAAAGTCTAGTCTAGAAGTTTTAAGAAATTGATTTTCATATTCTATTTTTATTTTTTTTAATTTTAACTATTCAAGAATACATAAGAGAATTTTTCAAAAGTTAAATTATTTTTGGAGACACAGCTGTTTGACCACGATAATCCTCTTCAGTTTAATGTCTCCGCCAAATTTTAAACCCGTTTTTCTCGAAACTTTGTTTTACGATATGATACTTACGATTTCACAACTTCTACTGGCCCGATATACTGGAAAATTTTTAGAGTTTTCTTCATAGACTTCACATCAGTATGAACTATGCTATCCCCAAATTCCGATTTTTACTATATTTAAATAAAAATAGAATATAAAAAAGCTCTAAAAATTTTTTTCTAGGCAGTTGCTATTTTGTGGAAACAAATTTCAACTAGATTAAATGATTGTAGATCAGTAATCCTTTTTTTATCGGATTATTTGAAAGGCTAAAATCAGGAGTATAGTCACATGCCAATTTTTCGATATTCTCCACTTTATCAACTGCTAAAATTAAAACGTTTCTACTGTTTATTTAATTTTTTTTGTTATTATATTACATTAATTAGTCTTTATTTTTAAAACTTTAATTAATAACGTGAATAAAAAAAATAATACAGAATCTGACCATAATTGTGTGCAAATATAGTATTGAAATTTAGATATTAATTATTGCATACAAAGTAATGTTTTGATTGATCACTTTCAGAAAGCTCAATCCACTTCCAGTACACCGAACGATTGCAATGTTGAGACTCCAGCAGAAGAAAAGAGAATGAAATTGTTCTAACCAAGGGTTTGTTATGTATAACTTTCAATTATATTTTTGTATGACTGTTAATTATATAATACAGCTTTTTCATGCACCACTAAGTAGGATTCTCACGAAACGGTTTTATACTACAACAGTCAGTTGGAAAAATGCTAATTTTTATTAGTAGTATGATGTCTGTTGATTGTTAAATTGTATTAAAGTAAATGTTATTGTTGTTGAGGTATGATTTAGTGATTTTGTGTACATCTATTTATTTTATTGTAAGATTTTCTGACAAATATTAATAATTTTAATATAATTTAATTTATATAACTTAGTTATAGTAGGTACATTTTACAAATGATCTGGAAGGGTTAGATAAATTCAAATTTCTCTTTATTATAGATATCATCTTTTGATATGTTTTTAATAGTGTATTAATAATAAAAATAACTATTTCAGATTATTTATTTTTTTACAAAGAAAATATCAATTTGTCATCTGGGATATTGATGAAACTTTTTGAGTTGTAAGTATAGTGTTTAAGCACAATTTGCTGAAGGGAGAACATAATGTTTTTTTGTCAAAACATGGCATGCTTAATGCTTACATATAATTAAACCGACTCTAATATTTGCTAAGGTTTTTTTCTTACTGTCAATTAACTGTGTACAAATTTTTCAATAGATCCCAGATCAATAATTTGGTATTGTCTTTATACATACTGTTTTAATTTTTATTTTGTCAGTTTAGAACACAAATATTCCATGACTCAGTTCCTGTTTCAGGATAAACTTGGTATCTTGCCCCTCGCTTACTTTTATGGTGAGAGGGAAATGGAATGAAAGGATGGACTGATGATTTTTGAAATACATCGAGTAATATCAAAATAGGCTTGCACCGAATATTCGGCATGTTCCGCCGAATACCGTATCGTTAAAATCAAAGGCGCCGCCGCCGCTCAACGACAGCATTGTTGGTGTTTCATCTTTTATGTGATGTAGATGAGCTCGCGATGGATCTGGGTGTTTAGTTCATATGATGATTTGAAGAAATGATTTTGTTATTGTATATTATATGTGAGTTTGGTGTTGATATATATTTTCATGAGTTATTTAGAATTGGGGAGTAACACCAAGTAAAAAAAAACTAAAGTAGTTTTGAAATACTTTATTTATCCATACGTTTCGGTCTTCATCGAGACCGTCATTCAGTGGAAAAAAGAAAATTAATTATACAAAAATACACTAGATTATTACACTGTGATAAACCAAGCTATTAATAACTAGAACATTTAAACTAATTATTTTTGACAATTTTTGGTTACATTCTAGTGTGTACAGATTAACTAATGTCTAAATATTTAGACGTTAGTGAGTTTATAAAATATTAAATGTTTATGAGAGAAATAATTGGAAATACATTAACATTCATGTAAAGAATCGCTTTTTTTCATGATTTTATCATTTATTTTCCTATCACATGTGGTATTCAAGTATTCGGTGTTCGGCCGAATAGTATAAATGGTGCCAAATATTCTAAATAACAAAAAGTAGCCGAATGGTGGTTGCAAGTCTAGGCATAAAACTTGAATAAACATGTAGCGCGTTAGTAATATAACAATTACTGATAGTAATTGCATTAATACAAACGAGCTTAGACGCCAAAAACCTGCCGAATAGTTACCGAATATTCGGTATTCGGTTCTTCGAGCATGCCGATTATTCAGTATTCGGCATTTTGCGGAATATACTATTCGTTGCAAGCCTAGATTAAATCCTTTTTTACCATCACAATTTAAAAAAATACCGTACTGCAATAAGAGAGAGCAAGCTTGTCCATAAATAGGATTAATAGGTTTTAGCATAATATCTTCATTAAAGATGGTCATAGTTGCTGATTGATTATAAAAAGTTACTTTAATGTCTTTATATTTCTTTTAAGTATGATTACAAATATAATAATAATCTGTATCAAAGATTTGATTGCATTTAATAACATTTGTGTTGTGCTATTAGCAATTTAAAAAACATCTTAACTAAAAATAATTTTATGATCTGAGAAAATAGTACTCTTTTTTGTACTGATTTAATATGTAGTTGCATTTGAAAATTATATATATATATATATATATATATATATATATATATATATAGTGTTGTTCGGAAAGTAACTTTGTTTTTTTATTGACATTTCTGCACGTAATTTTGGTACAATAAACAATTACAGGGTGGCTGATATGTAATGCAACAAAGTAAAGCGCTATAACTTTGTCACTTTCATTTTAAATTTCATTGTTTAAAAGCAAAAATGTCGGAAATGACATCAAATTTTAGAATCAGTTGAGATTTGTTCTAATTGGCCACCTTTGGCACGAGTTATGGCCTTCAAATGGCAGAAAAACCATAACACGCTGCACGAAAGTGGCTCTGGGGTATTTTGGCCCATTCCCGGCGAGGCGCCTTCTTGGCATGATCGACACTTTGGTATTTTTTAGTGCGAACCTTACTCTCCAAAATGTCCAAGGCACAAAAGTCCAACGAATTTAGATCCAGAGATTTTGGTGGCTATTGTGCGATGGAAATGAAGCGAAAAACCTCTTTTTTAAGCCATTTTCGGTAGATGCGTGCTGAGTTTGATGGTGATGAGACCTGTTGGATTGTTCATGGTCTGCGGCCGAAATTTTTGTCTACCCAGGACTTTAATACTGCCTTTAAGACATTTTCCTGATAATTTCGGCGATTATTTTTATCCCACGGTCGATGATAAGAGCGGAATGTCACCATTGGCCGTTACGGTGGTTCACACCGTTACTGTCGGCGGCGCTTGAGTTCTGGTGGCCAATCGAAGGTGTAAATTTTTAGCTGACCTTTTTGGCAATTAAACCCTATCATTTTGTTTGTTCACAAACTGCTCGATTTGGGATGACTTTCCATCTGAGAAAACCAAATTCGGTAACTAGCCACTTTCGTACAAGCGAAGCAACCCCTTGGCTCCTTCCCGCCTAACTTTTTTTTGTGCATCGATGAGCTCTTGCACTTTTTGGAACTGTAATGGCTTTAGTCCAAGCTCATTTTCAATATGTGTTGCATCTGTTTTTGCGATATGTTCAGCTTGCGATATGTTTTTGCGATATGTTGCATTTTTTTACCACTGCGACACGAATTTTTCGATCGATTTTTGTCTATACTTTTTGGATCATTTCTGGTGTTGTTAGTGTTTTTTCGTCCACTTTTTGGACGCGGTGCAATACTGAGTGTATCACGGATACGAGATATAGCACGAGAAACAAAATATTTGTTCGCATTTAAATGCTGGAGGGCTCTAAAGATAGCCTCTTAAGGTTTATGAAGCAATCGCACTATCACGCTTGACTTCTATCACGAATAACTTTATTTTCTGAATGCAATAGATCAAAATGTTTTTGTACGCTTGTAAAAAACTAAATGAACAATGACTGGAATAAATCTGTCATCTATCTGATGACCGGTTTAGAAATGATAGCGTTCTGAAATTGGCTGCAATACATATCAGCCACCCTGTACTTTAATAAATTATGCATTGGCAGTTTTGATCGAACATCTTTTGTCATATTTCTGGTATTAGCATAATTCCGAAATCATTAATGTTTTGGTCGTTATTGGTAAAAAACTGATCAAAGTGCTTTTTGATAGTTGATTTGAGGTAAAGATTTCACCGCCTAAACATTTTTTTAGTGACCAGAACAAATAATGTCCGATGATAGTAGGGCTGGAGAATATGATCAATGGTTCATTTTGGTGTTCCATTCAAGCTTCAAAAGCTTCTGGCGATTGACCAAACTTTTGTGAGGTCTAGCGTCGTCGTATATCATTTAGTTTACCCAGCTGATAACATAAGGCATCATTTAAAGTCTTGCCAAACATACTGCATCACTTTTTTCTGGCAAATTTCAGCTTTGCATCTGTTTTGAGCAGGTTCTTTTTTTTGTTTCATGGACAAATGCGTGTATTGTATTCCTTACATCCCATTTGAAATTCCTAGTGACAATTCGTTTCAAAACCTGATAATTTTCAAGACTTTTCAAACGCGAATCGCGGACGCCGTTGCGACGACATACGTTTCTTTCGATGAGAACTATACATTGAGTTTCGAGGAAAATCCCAGACCTTTCGAGTGGCCATGAACTGTTAAATTTGATAAATTTTTACTCAATGGCATCTCATGTATTATTATTCATCGGTTTGCAGCAACTAATGCTTTTCTCGCGTCTTTATTAGCTTCAACCGTGGTTCTTGGACTTGATGCATCTTGGACATAAAAATATCAGGAATGAAATTTAGCAAACCAATTTTGGCACTGTCGTACTATCAACACGTCAATTCCGTACACATCGATCAATTTCATTTTGACTTAAACAGTTTTTTTTACCTTTTCTAACTAAAATGCTGCTTAATTCTTTCCGTATTCAAATAGGCACCATCCAAAAACTACTGCATGTAATCGATTAGAATTTTTTACACACAAGCCTTAAAATATAAGTTTTCAAATCATATAATAGTTACAGGGCTTAAGTGTGGTGTTAGGTTCAAAAAAATATAGTTACATTCTGAAGGTAAAAATACAAAGTGACTTTCCGAACAACCTTATATATATATATATATATATATATATATATATATATATATATATATATATATATATATATATATGAAATGAATATATGAGATATATGAAACACTTTTAAATAAACTTCGTGCAAAAAAGAGCATCATCAAAAGGTAGTGGATATTCTGCGCGATGTGGAGTTTAATAATATATTTATCATGTAAAAATTGTCTTTTCATGCAAAAACCATATGTATATATATATATATATATATATATATATATATACTATTCAACTTATTCTATTGTTTATATGATCATAAAATGAAACAAATCATGTATATACATGATTATATAGTTACATGGTAATAATATATATTCTTTACTAGTTTTATGTTCAAACACGTGACCAGAATTCTATACAAATTATTTTGAAAAGCTCTAATTTTTTTTAATAGAAATTTTGCTTTTATTTTTTAAATTTAGCATGGAGTTTCCGGATAATCGAATTATTTTTATATTACTTAATGAATGGTTCTCGGTTTCTGAATCGCGGATTTGTGGAAATAGAAAATCTCAAAGTTTAATAGTTCGGTCGATGTAGCCGATTGATGAACTTTTTAGAATTGTTCCGCCGTCAGTTGATTTCATTATTATTAATTTATCTTGATGCTCTTCAGAAAACCTCAGAATTGGAATGATATGTTTTCTTCGTTCTATCATATGTTTTCTGTCTTAATAAGTTTTTCTGTTAGGTTGCGATACATATATTACGTACAATACTATTGAAGATCAAAATGTGAATGAAATTTTATTTCGCTTATTGCATTGTGCGAGTAGTGGCTCTCATGCATGCGCGTCAAGTTGGATTTCTCATAAATGAGCAATATGGCTTATGTTTTATGAGGATTAATAACCCCATTCCCGGATAACTATGCTTGTTTTGAGATACCTGAGCAAGAGCAAACCAAATCGTGAAACGAACATAAAAAATTAAAGAGATGATTTGTGATGATGATCATAATCATAATAGTTCAAAAAAGCCTCATTTTTTATAAAATTAAACACAAATGTACAAGGTACAATAAATTTGACATTTCTAATTGCAAGACATTATCTGAAAGATTATTACTTAGATAACAACTGTAAATATTAAAAAATATGTTATAATGATTTCGCAATCTATCTATCAAATATCAAGATTTGATGTCTTACAGTGTACAACGACTTTATGATTTCTTTACATCTAATGTTGACCAAAAGTTTAACAGATAAATTTTATGTGCTTACTTGCTGCTACACCAAAGTGGATCTGAATAAAAATAATATATAATAAACGTCATTTTATTCTGTTTCATAGATTCACTGAGAAAGTGGAATTGTCTTTAATTGCTTAACTCGAGTTAAGCAATTAAAGACAATTCCACTTTCTCAGTGAATCTATGAAACAGAATAAAATGACGTTTATTATATATTATTTTTATTCAGATCCACTTTGGTGTAGCAGCAAGTAAGCACATAAAATTTATCTG